CTTATGACTAGTTCGCCACATTTGAATTAATTGAAAACAAAATACAATAAATAAAATCTTTCACTCACCTTTAGGTCTTTTTTTTTTTGTTATGGTTGAAGTGAAGCATGTTGTTTTCCTTTTCCGGTCTACGCAGCGTGGTTCCGTGATGTGACTGCCATTTTTGTATGGCAAGCCGGCTTGCCATATTTTAGTATGGTAAATCTGCGCGCGCCAGATCTCTCMCGATCGATTTGTCATGGTTCTGACGTCATATTTTAGTTTAGTTTGAACGGAGTTGGCGGCTCAAATAACTCTCATGACTAACATGGACCCGCCGCCGGCCACATATTACGGCCCGCTCGATAAAAGGAATCCAGTTATTTTAACTTTTAATCGAGACATTAAAATGTTTTTTAAACAGATGAAAATAGCAAAGTCTAACATCGTTCAAGCTAAAGGGTAAGTTAGCATTAGCTTCAACACTCCGTTAATTTTTGTTTGGTCTCATTGACTGCATGTGGTGTCTTTAAAACTTACACTGTGATAAATTACCAGCAATATGTTGCTTTGTTTAGCCTTTCATAAGAAAAAAATAATAAATAAAAAACAAGTAAAAATATGACTTTGAAAAATAAACCCCTACTTTTTTCTCATGAAAAGCTAAATAAAGCAAACATTGCTGGTACTTTTTCACTGCAACTTTACACACATCCTTTTTTTTTTTAAAACAATGACACTTTTTATCACTTCGTCTTCATAATTTCATGATTATCTTGCTTTTTAGGATTAAACTTCTCGTGGAAATATGGCAAAAGTACAAACATCGCCTGCCTGACAAGTTACACCAGGAGTGCATGTTGCAGGTTGCAGACTTCCTTTCTGAAATAAAGGTAGTGTCATTAAAAAAACAATAATAAAACTGGAATACACAGTAATAATAGGGGTTTTGCCTTGCATTTGTGTTAACTTGTTTCTGGCAGTTATCAAAATAAGTGGTAAAGGTTAAAGGTTAGTCAGCATTTCCTTTGCTTCGTTTGTATCTTGGATTTGATTTGACACTATTATGTCAGTGCCAAAAACAGAATTCACAAGATTTGTAGCGTCAGAGTATTCACTCTCAGTTCACAAAAAAAATGTTTCTGCCTCACCATTGCTTCAGAGTTTTGGTTTTAATGTTTGACCATTTGCTCTTCATTTGCAGCTGTACCAAATGGCTCTGTGGTATGGCTACAGACCCTATTTGTTGCAGTTCAGCTCAGTGAAAGTAACCCAGATCACAGACGTGGATCACTTCATAGCCTGCTTTTTCCCTGATGGCTTTCATACAGAACAAGACAGTACAGTGAAGGTAAACTGACAAATATTACCTTGTTTTATCATATGATGATAAATGCTTTTATGCATGTGTTTTGTCCACAGGTGCGTGCAATGCTTGGCTGTGCTAAGTGTATCTTTGAGGAGGAGAAAAAGAGCAGCACCCTTAGCGAGAGGGGACTCTGMGAACTGCTGCGTGTGCTGAACTTCATCAGGAGCATGATGCAGGCATTTCAGCAGCGTGAACACCTCTCCTGGTTGATATATGATGGTATATTGCTATACTTGGTACATTTCATAATATTATAATGATCATTTAATCATTTAAAGCTGGTTTATTATTAGGCTTAAATCAGTGATCCTTTAAGCCATAATAACTCTTAGTTCAATTCAATTCAATAAAAAATATTCATTACATTAAAAAACAACTATATACAAAGAAAATGCACAAACTCTGTGCTCTGCTTGGAAATTTGATCCATTTGATAAAATTATTTGAAACTATTTTTCTTTTTGCAAAACAGTTCTTATAATTTATTAAACTGTGTTTCTTTTAATTAAACAAGTCGCAATAATTTACCTAGGTCTTACGCTTGAGTAAACAATAACCTTTTCTTTGTTAATTTGTTGTTCTGACAATACACATCCTGCAATATGCTTCATATCCACCCACATGTTAGACTAACACAATTAAAGTATATTTAACCCTATTAAGCTTTATATTATTTCTGTTTGGTAGTWACATTACCTTTTTGTTTGTTTGTGTTTTCCAGGATCGTCACTCATTTACAATATCTGCCGTTACTTGATGAGTGTGAAATGCAGTGAGCAGGTACCTTTCAATCAAATTTATATTTTTATTGCTTAAATCATTACATGTTTAAATGGATACAGTCCTTTTCTAAACAGTTTGTTAGTGTCCAAAACGTCCCTCAGAGAAAGTTGAAACCGATGAACCTGAAAGGCTCAGGTTGTAAAATGAAACCTGAACTCAATAAAGCCTTTTTWAATATATAATTTATTGTCCTCTTTCCACAGCACAAACTGTAATACTTTTATTGAATAAAGTAGTGAGTACAGGCCGATGTGCCTTCATTTGTATCTGTGCCTTTCTTCCTGAATTATAATGCCACCGTTTTGGCTCCTATTCAGGCACTGGAGTACCTTCTGTGGGCGAGCATCAGTTGGGAGTTGTGCGTCCCTTCGATGAGAGCCAAATATCTTCCACTGATTGTCGCGCTGTACTGTGCGGTCTGCTACTGTCACTTCGACAACCAGGCTGAAGAGCAAGCAGAGGTGAGGGACGTTTGCATCCAGATAAACAACCACTCATAAAAGAATGTATTTGTTAGAGCTCGCTTCAGTTTTCAGACATCCAGTCTGTCATTGTGATACTTTAAAAGGTATTATTTTGATTTATTCACTGCTAGTTTTTACTCTTTCAACAATAGATTAAAAGGTTAATTTGTTGGAGAAATATGAATGGATATAACTTACGAATTGTCGCTCAGGAAGGAATTAAACCTTTATTGTTTTTCTTTTATTTTTTTGTGCGTTTTTGTAAATTGAAGATTATTTTTGGTAGAATTTATTTATTTGAGAAAAAGGGGCAGAAATCGTAAGATTTTTTCTGCTTCTGCTGCCTTTCATTTGGTTTATGATTTGTATTGAATATTGA